ATTTTAACAATAATAATGTATATAATTATAAGATACCGTGCTCAAATGATACTCACTTCCATCTCGCGTTTCACGTCCGGACTATAGTAGTTCAGATCAGGTTCCTCTTTGACGAATTGATGAAAGTAATACGCCTGACGTTCATCTCGCCACTCCCAAGCCGATCCACGCATTTCACTCAACTATGTACACAATATGCGTTTGTATATTCACCAAGTGCATAGATAACGAACGAAGTTTCTTAAGCTTTCGTCGCATAGAGCCTTAAAAAATTGTTCAATTAAACGAAATTAAGGAATCAAAATAATTTCCGAATTTAAGAGTTCGAGCTTGAACCTTCGAGGTTTAGTGATCAAAGCTCGAGTCGCGGTTGAAACTTAAAAATTTTCAGTTTTGCAGATTTAGAGTTTATTTTAATAACACTTGAGATCGTTCTTGATAAATGAATTGCAACGTGAGTGGACGTTCAATTCGTCCTTGCCTGCTCATTTGTAAACGAAACATGGTAACTCTTAAAAATTGAAGGAAATTTTAAGCATTTTAAAACACGCTTACCCAGTTGTTTGGCGGTTTACGCGTGCCATTTTCTATTCGTCCTGGATGCCAAACGTAATAATTGTCGTAAGGTTTAATTCCCTGCAGGCTCTTCTGGAACCATTCGTGTTGGTCCGACGAATGATTGGGCACGAAATCCAAGATTACCAACAAATTTCTATCGTGCGCTGCTTTCACTAGGTCCTCGAAGTCCTTCAGGGTGCCAAATATCGGGTCGATATCGGTAAAGTTCGAAGCGTCGTAGCCGAAATCTACCATCGGGCTGCGATAAATGGGCGACAACCAAATTGCGTCAACGTTTGATGCCTCAAAATGGTCCAATCCCTGTATGATACCTGGCGATGATTTGCAATTTTATAGGCACTGCACGTCAAAATTTCAAGTATGACATTGTTCGGAAAAGGAAAGTGGAAAAACAGTTTGAGTTGAATTTCCATCCAACGGAGGGTTGAAAATTTTCCACCAACGTCACGTGTCACAGAGAGGTGAAAATCTTTCATAATGAATAAAATAATGAATGAAGGTTTGTGAGAAAGTTGAAAATTCTCTTGCGGAATACGTCTCTTTCGAGTTTATGCGGCAAATAGTGGCAAATGCGCAATGGGAATTGAAATTTATTTTCGCGTTCAAACGACTTCAACTTCTTCCTTCGAGTTTTTTCGCTCGCGGTACTCGTGCTTCGCTTTCTTCATTTTTTCCTCGATTAATGTTTGCACGCTTAGCTCTGTTAATTACATCCGATTTCCACTCCTCTGTTCGTCGTTGTTACATAGTTGCGCAAATAAAAATAAATCGAAAGTCGACGGGACAATGCAAGAAGGAGAAGCAATTATGCATCTATTTACGAACCATTGTAAGTCGATAATGTCTCGCGGTTAATTACCTGTTGTAGTTGTAGATCCTGAAATTTCTTATTTTTCTTTCTCTGAACTTTAATCTCAATTTTTCAAAGAAATTTTTATCGTACACTTTTGCACAGTGCGTAGGATCTCTGTATTTTTGCATTTTAAACTACCCATAAATGGATAAAAATCAATGCAGCTCATTTATTTGTACATCATCGTGCTTAAGAGATTATTGTTCAATGTATTCCTATATATTGAATTAATTCCTATATAATTAATTAATTTTCTAATACATTGAAACGATTATTTTAGTTAGTATAATTATAAATTTTATTTATTTTATACACCCTTCTTGCTATTGTGCAAATGAATTTATTAGTATTGGCAAATAATGTAAAATTGCGCTTCAACTGTGAGAAACATTTTCAAAAAGATATTTACACAAATAAATATCAGTTTTATACTGCAAATACTCGAATACTTCCTCCGAGTATGAAGTTCTAAATCAATATTTTCTCTAAATGAAGAATTTTAATATCTCTAATGGGACTATTTCCAATTATCTTTCATTCTTATTTTCCTTTCTGCATTTTTTTATATTATTTAATGCATTTGCAAATAACTTTGAAATTCTTTACTGTTACTATACAAAATTCAGATTCAAATTTTTAACGTTTATATAGCACTTGTTCGTGGATGACATTAACAATCTTTGCAAAACCGTCTACGCTAATTATGTTAAGCGTCCAGGACGAACTTGAAAAGTTAATAAAGTTAATAAATTTTCCAATAAGACACTTCTTTTCTGAGAAAATTCAATTGAGAAATTTATCAAGTCTACTAACAAATATGCTAACTCTAGATATGTTCAAATTCTGTTTCCTTCAAATTAGGATAGTAAGTCTTATAATAAATAAATCGAAGAATAGTACAATAAAAAAACGATTGATATGATGACTATAATCAGTAAAACAAAGGAAATGAATTTCTGATTATAAAATATATTCTGAAAACTTGGATTGTCATAAAGAAACACACCTCTAAGATCACCGATGCCGTCTCCATCGCTGTCCATGTAACTCCTAGGATAGATCTGATAGAGTGAAAAGTCTGTAATATTTTTCGGCGGATTCCACGTTACTCCGATGGCCAGAGGCAGTACTGCCACGCAAAATGCTATTACCGCCCTCATATCCCTTGAACACACAAAACGTATCGCTGAATATCAAATTAGTTGCCTAATTAATCGCGTGACTTCGGGTTTAGCGTCCTCTGCACAACGTTCTAACCGCATATACCAGTCCGATACTCGGTTCCACGTTGTTTACGATAAATTTTCGAACTTTAGCATCCTACTTAATTACAATTTTCCAGCGGATGGAACTATAGCGTAAGGAGGGAAAGTTATCCTTCCGGTAAAAAATTGCATTATCATTTTTAATAATTTTTAATAATTTGAATAACTTATTATTTTCAACAATTTACAGTTTGACGTTCTGAGAGACGGTGAGCGTCGTGTGAAATTCGTAACTTCTGTCTGTGCAACGAATCGTTTCGATTTTATAACATGTCGACACTACACGTTTAAATTAAGTGGAATGTTTGGGAATATTTCAGTTTTGCAATACTTTACTCTCATTCCCTTCCGAGATTTTCAATTTTCAATTTTAAGAACATTTAAATTTCAACATGCTCACCTTGAAAATAAATATTCGAATTAATGTATCTTAAGCTCAATGAAATTCATTGTAAGATGTTATACAGTTTTATTCAATTATCATTTACGATGTTCGGTTTACGTTTCGTGGCTCTAAATTTTCTTCTAGTTCAAGTTCTTACATTCAATTCTAACATTGAAATTTCTAAATTCGTAGAATACTTTTGAAAATAAAATTGCTGGCTACCGGCGTCAGTCAACGTGTCAATATATTTTATACATATAAAATTGTATACCTTGTTTTGAGATATTCAGTTATTAAAGTACAATCGATTGTATCCGCTTGGGATATTTGTTGTCAACGATGCGACATCGACTGCAATGATGTATGGTTACAGCTACTCTTTTATAGCTACTCTTTTACGGTTACACAACGCATCATCTATAGTTTAGAGTAGTGGTGTACGATCGATTGTTTCTGTTAATTTTTATTGAAATGAGTGGGGTACGTATTGTCTTATTGAAGCGGAATCATATATTTTGTCGGTGATCTAAATGAAAATGTTTGAAGTTTGCATTGTTGCGAGGAGAATGCGGCAGCATAGTAATTAGGAATATCTATTAGATGCAATTTAAAATGGAGAATTTTGCAAATAAAATGTATGAATTCTAATGAGGAAACATTTGAACGATTGTGAATTTATAGTGATATCATTATAATGTAAATTATAATAGATAGTATATAATAGATTTTAATATAACATTATAATATAATATATAAGATTATGATATAACATTTTATAAAATTGAAATGCTCTTGAAATAAACTAAAAATTATCGGGGAATTTTAATAAACTTTACTTGATTTAATGTTGTAGAGTACATAAATATTTACAATACGAAATATTTACAATACATAATATTTACATTTACAATATAATATTTACAATATAATATTTATATATATATATATATAATATTTACAATACGTATAATTTACATTTACGGAATATTTACAATACATATGTACATGCACGAACATGGATGAAGTAATATGTAATTCGTGGCTTGTTTGATTAAATTATTTCAATTGTATCACATTGATGGATGTGACAAATTTTCATTGTTTATAAACTGAAGAAAATGTTCCACAGTGATACGAATCACACTCAAATAGTCATTAGCAAATAATTTATGGTGTATAAAATTTCATTTGTTACTATCTAATATCAAACTTTGTATCATCTATAAAACAGAAGTTTATTACTAACTATGGCCAATAATTGGTTTTGAATTTATTATACGCGATTCGTAAGCTAGCGAATTTCTTTGCTTACATTACAATTAGAGAATCAGTAAATTAACATTTAAGTATCGTCGTTACGGTTTTAATAATGAATGAATTATTATATTTGATAGCCATATAGTTGCACGCTGTATTCGTTTATAATTTAAAACATTGCTTGTCTATGTATCATGAAGTGCAGCATATTTCGGGAACATAGTTGGAATTTGACAAATATATTTTTTAAATGTGCACGATTATATTTGAACAAAAGATAAAAATAGAAGCAGAAATCACGGGCTAATTAAAAGATTTGAAATGGATACCTATTGGGCATTCATTACGGAGTTATGATAATCACATTTCGAAACAAAGCAATATCTCCTAACGATATCAAACTTCACTTCCATCTCTCACGTGAGTCGACACAACAATGGATTATCAAACAAAAGGATTAGACAATATTTTAATTGGCCAGTTAATTGCCCAATTATTCTTATTAATCAATTGTCTAATTATCTAATTAAATAATTATCGAACACTCGAACATCTTTTATACCAACTCGAGTTTAGCGCTTCAGTTACAATGTTTTATTGAAACCTGTACTACGATCCATGTGTACGATACCACAATGTACTACGATCAACGTCAATGCAATTATTCTGTTATTATAATTTCTTTCAGTTGTTCGTGTTTTGGTAACCACATGCCTCTGTGCGTCAACATAGTTCTTCAAGGATAAAAGAATATCTTTTCGTTATCAAATTTTCGTACTGCTGACATTGATTAACAGTCTCACTAATGTGTTTCTTTATAGTTTCACCTCAAATGTGCTGTAAAAATCCGAAATAGTTCCACGGATTTGCACAAATCCTGGAATTTTTTTTTCGCGAAACGACAACGAGAGAAAATTGCCAATTTTCCACCTGGTTGTTCGAACTTTCGATCCTTCGACACCACGAGATTGCGGGATAACGGCCTCGGTCTGTTTCGTGGTGAACGGAAGCATTCGCGTACCATTCGAAGAGCTAAGATACGCCACAGACTGCCACAATGACCCAGCAATGTCTTGGACAAGCCGAGATCGTGGGACCACAAGTCCGATGTCTACAGAAACGTGGCAACCGCTTCATACGATTCCGAAGTCGTCAAACTGACCATATCTAACTAACTAACAAGTCTTATCTGCGTTATAGTAAGATCCATGGTTGGTAACCTGCGGTGAATAAAGTAACAATGAAACTGAGGGACTTGCCTTTGGACAACGATGACTTTGAGGCCGTAGGACTTTCATAGGGACTCCATAGAATCGTGCAGCTCACTATAATTAATCCAAGTTACGAGAAATTTCATAATACATTTACTTAGAAGACGTAGGACGTAGTAATCTTCTCGAAGAGATGAGGGATTTGCCTCAAGTAAAGGTCTGGTAGTTTGAGTTTTTGTTATTGTGTAATTTTTAGGATTAAATTATCTTGAAATTAAATGAGAATTTAATATATATGCGACAGGAAGGTATCGAAAAATTAAACGTCACTGAAATGTTCAATTTGCATAGGTAAATTCCTAAGTGAAATGTTCCAATTTTTTTTCTTATTATTAGCTTTTTAATCTAAAATTAATTTTCTCACCTGAAACCAAGTATACTACACAATCTAGATAAGACACGTATATTCTAATTATTTAACGTTATTCGTCATCTGCGAAATAATAATTGTAATAATAATTTACAAATCTGAAATCTCAATAAACATTATTGAGGATTATTTTAAGCAAAAAGTCACTGATTTAGATATAGAAATAACTAAAGAAATGAATTATAACTAAAACATCACAAATGTACCACTCGTTATATACGTATTAGTAAATAATTGAGTTGAGTAGTAAATAATTTCCAAGCCCAAGATTTAAAATAAATAAAATGCCGATAGATCAAGAGTTGCATCTCGCTTATGGTGGCCATTCCTCTCGAATTTCTACCTCACGATACGATCTTTCGGAATGAAGGATCGTTGCAAATCTTCGGACAAAGATAGTACCTATCGATATAAACTCTTGCATCGGATCGTGCACGACTTGGTATTCATAGTATGAGTTAGAAATCATCTCTTTCTCTAGTAATCGAAGACGTTCGATTCGTCGACGAAGCATTCCGAAAGTTCAAGGAATGTTGTTCGAATACCGAACTGTATTTCTTAAATTATTTTCGCTCTTATATTTATTAAATCTTCACAGTTGTTACTCGTCAGTAAGTAAGTTGTACTTTTGTATTTAATAATGTAACGAAATGATAGGAAATAAAAAAAAAAAACAATTTGTAAATAGTATAATTAAACAGGTATAAATAATATAATTAATAAAACATGTTATTAATGTTGCAAAAATTTTTAGAAATTTCATTGACATTATAAATAATATTGAAGTAAAATGCATTAGATATATATTCTTCTATTTGCGAATTAAATTTCTCAATGCATAAATCTAATGAATCTAATAAATCTAAAATCTACAGAAATGTGCATGTAGTGAAGTACTTCTATAATAGCTAGAATATTAATTATGTCTCACCGTGCCATTAATTATGTTAACTGTGCCATTATTGGCACGATGATCTTGTTATTCGTCGGTGCATTCAGATGAATAATTAATGGAAACGTTATTCAATATTATTTGGCAAAGTGATTGCTATTTAACTTGAGGATGCGAGACGATTATGGTTATTATTACGGAAGATTAAC